GCTTTGTTTTTGCTCTGATCTCACAGCACACATGAGCAGATCTTCATGGGTGGGTCTCAATGACATCAACAGAGAAGGAACGTTTGTGTGGAGCGATGGAACTCAAGCAGTAAGTGATCAGACATTAAACTTATACATTTGATCGCACAAAGTGAGAAAGCTTCGACTGATGAACAATATTTTGGCAGTTCCGCATCCAGTTATTTAAAGCTTTATTTCGTTCCATGTCAAGCGTGTGAGGAGCTTTGTCTGTTCTCTCTGGCTTCTGTAGGACTTCCAGCCCTGGGAGACGAACCAGCCGGATAACTGGCAGAATAATGAAGACTGTGTTCACATTCGAGGGACCGAGCACCAGGACACAGGAAAACTCAACGACCTGCCCTGCTCATCCACTTACCCCTTTATCTGCCAGAAAGGTGGGAACAATCTGAGGTGTTCCTGTTTGATCAGTCTTTTAATTGTTTTATTGATTGCGCACAATGATCAGAGCATTGTTTTAGCGAGTTACACCGGTTAGTTACACTAGTCTTTATTGACCAACTTTAAAGCCATCAAATACATTCTTTCCATTGGTGTGATTTTGAGATACTGATATTGATTTTATTTTTCCAGCAAAAGGTCAAGGGCCACCGCCTCCCCCAACATCTGGTCCAGGTACAGATTTGTTACTGACTCTCTCTACACACCAAACACTGAGACATTCACACATTTGTGTTTGTTTCTCAGTCTTACGGTACATATCTGTCTCTGTGTATCGGACTGTAAGCGTCTGGTCGTTCTGCGTGTCTGTGCCTGAGCTCTTGAACTGATTTCGTTTGCTTCTTTCAGGCTGGAATGCGAAGTGCGGCTCCTGGGTTGCGGACCCGTTTAATGATTACTGCTACCTGTTTATTACTCTGTCCATGAGGAAGTGGGCCGACGCTCGTGCGGATTGTGTGAATCAGGGTGGAGATCTCATCAGCATCACTGAGCCGTTTGAACAAGGTTTCATCCAAGGCTAGTATCCAGTTACTCAACAGACTCTCAAGGTGTTCCAGATCCACTTATGCTCACACAACTCTTGTTCATGCACAGCTCAAATCCAGTCGGTTCCCACGGGAGTTTCTCTCTGGATGGGAGCGCATGACTCCATCACCGAGGGAGGCTGGATGTGGACAGACGGCTCTCCGTTCCGCTATATAAACTGGGCTTCAGGTGAAGCTGTGAAAAGATTTGAGACGATAAAGCGCCCTTTAAGCTTTTTATTAAATGAGTCAAAATTAAGTTTAATGGAGAAGATAATCTGCGCCTCTCATTTATTGCTAAAGGAAACCCCGATGATTATTATAATGAAGACTGCCTGTCCATTTTAATCAACTCTGGAGCGTGGAACGACGATAACTGTGAGAACAAGAGAGGATATATCTGCAAGCGTCGCGGTACGTTCTGCTGCCCCTTTCATTCTCTCAGAAATAATATTGACTGAAGTATTCATGTTTAGAAAATACACCTTTTCGCTTTTTCAGGGAACACACCCGAGCCTCCTCCGCCGCATGATGGTACGTTTGGCTTCTGTTTCTCGTGTGCCA